TGAACATTTGGGTGGCATTATGCAAATATTTCCATATAGTGTGGTAGATATGTGGGGGCGTGTTAGAATGAGCCGTTTTAGGGGGGCGTGGCAGAGTCTTAACTTTGATAAAGAATATCTCTTTGGTTTTGAGACTTTAGTCTTTGCAACTTCAGGGATCTTATCTATGCACAATCAGCTTGTAACACTCCAAAGAGAAAGGAAAACTTGAAATCGCATCATATGACCCCTTTAACATTACACTACTGTTCAAAAGTGTGGGGTTAGGAAGAATTTTTTTTTTTTTTAGAAATTCATAATTTTATTCAGCAAAGATGCATTAAATAGATTGTGATGAAATTGTGATGTTGCAAAAGATTCCTATCTCAAAAAAATGCTGTTTTTTTTCTTTCTATTCATCAGTAATCCTGAAAAAAAGTATCACAGTTTCCACAAAAAATATTAATCAGAACAACTGTTTCTTGAGCACAAAATCAGCATATTAGAATAATTTCTGAAGGATCATGTGACTGCTGAAAATTCAACTTTGCCATCAAAGGAAAAAATTACATTTTAAAATATATTAAAATGGAAAACGGTTATTTTAAATGGTAATAATAATAGTAATATAGTAAAAATTAGGGATGCACCAATACCGATACTGTTATCGGTATCGGGCCCGATACTGAGCTCCTGTACTCGTACTCGTACTCGTTAAAATGCCCCGATACTCTAATGCTATTAATTTAAAGATGATGTACTATAGAGCAAAAAAATTAACAGTGAAAGTAACAAAAACTTGTAAAATACATTTTAATGGGCTTAATTAAGTGTGAAAATAACCAAAGGATATACAGTCAAACCAAAAATTATTCAGAGACCAGATATAATTTTTGATATTTTTTTACTAGTGGGTGCAGGACACTATAGTTCATTTATGTAAGTGAGGATAGCAAAATAAAGTAAACTGTGACAAATCATACCCAAAATTTCTTCATACAGTGGACTACCAGTAAAACCGATACAAATTTGGGACCAAAAATTATCCAGACCGAGTCTGGGAAAAAAATTGAAGTTTTCTGTACCCAATATTTTAAAAATTTACAAATGCAATAAAAATATTGGTATCGGCAAGTATCAAAAATAAAAGTATCGGTATCGGGCGAGTACTGGAAAAAGTGGTATCGGTGCATCCCTAGTAAAAATAGTAGTAAAATAGTAATATTTTACTATATTACAGGTTTAATGTATATTTGATCAAATAAATACAGCCTTGGTGAGCATAATAGACTTTAAACTTTAAAACATAAATAATCGTACCGACCCCAAACTTTTGAATTGTATTGTGTACAGTACAATCGCTTGTGCAGCCTAGATGACATCAACTGAATAGTAATTTTACAGTCAGCACAAGTTCTTACATTTTGTTAAAACAAAATATTTCAAACAGATTATTTTTGCACATTTAGACCATGAACATGTATTAAGAGAGTAAATGGGGTCCATTTAAATGAATTTTCATGTTGACCTTCAAAGTGGCTGATTTTTACTAACTGAACTACTATTAAAAAGTCCTTTTTTTCTTTTTCAGCAATGGCCCATGTACATGGTGGACTATAGCGGAGTGAATGTTCAAGTTCCTGGAAAAGTCAAATACTAACAAACTTTCTGATTTCGTACGAAAGACTTCTACCGTTAAGGGACCTTTTTATAATAAACTTGACGTTTCTGAATGCTAAATTCAGCTTTCTTCAGAGCTGTGGCAGATCCTGCGGCTCGCGCATGGAGACGCCTGTGTGTTCTGGCAGGTATTAGAGAGTGTGAACTGTTGGATGCAGTTGTTTCTGAATGAAGTGCTAATGATGGAACAACACGGCAGTAAATCAGTCTGCTAGTGCTTTAGAGGAATAGTACTCAACCTCACGTCAGTCCAAAAACAAATGCTTTTGATATTTTTGTGGAACACGAAAATAGAAATCATGTAAAAGAAGATTTGTTCTGTGTGAAGATTTGTCAAAAATTGACTTTTAAAGGAATAGTTCATCCAAAAATGTAAATCTGCTGAAAATGTACACACCTTCAGGCCACCCAAGATGTATATTGGTTTATTTCTTCATCAAAACAGATTTGGAGAAATTTAGCATTGCATCACTTGCTCACCAGTGGATCCAATGCAGAGAATGGGTGCCGTCAGAATGAGAGTTCAAACAGCTGATAGAAACAAAACATTAATCCACACGACTCCAGTCCAGCAATTAATGTATTGAGAAGTGAAAAGTTTATTACAAAATACCAGTCCATAATCCATAATAACACTTATTTATTTGTTTAGAACTGTTTTGGACGGTATACTACAAATTTCTCTCCTAATTCAGACGAGACAGTTTTTCAATGGAGATACCAATATTATGGATAGAGGATGCAAGTTTTTCATGGAAGCAATGGTTTGAAGTTAAAAACGTCTTAATGATGAATTTATTACAAAACAATATTTGATGGACTGGAGTCTTGTGGATTACTGTGACGTTTTTAATCAACTGTTTGGAATCTCATTCTGGCGGCACCCATTCACTGCAGAGGATCTATTGGTGAGCAACTGAAGTAATGCTAAATTTCTCCAAATCTGATGAAGAAACAAACTCATCTACATCTATATCTTGGATGGCCTGAGGTTGAGTGCATTTAAAGCAAATTTTCATTGTTGGGTGAACTGATCCTTTAAGTGTTCCACTAAAACATGAACAGCATACAGGCTTGGAGCAACATGAGAGTGAGTGAATAGGAAAGGAAAAGGAAAGGACGTGACATGTGGCCAAGTGTGTCCCAAACTCGGAATTTGTGTTCTGCATTTCACCCATCCAAGTGCACACACACAGCAGTGAGAAGTGAACACGCACACACACACACACACACACACCTGGAGCAGTGACAGAACTATTCCTTTAGGAGGTTGTTTGTAAAAGGAGTAGCCGTTATTTGCGTATCAGATGAGCTATAATGCTTTTGTAATAGCAGATCCTGGACACAATCATGGTTAAATAACCATCTCATAAAGAGCAGTAAGAACGGGATTTGGGATTTGTTTCCCCCCCAAATACGTCTAATCACTGTTTGTATACACAGCCTTGTTTGGTGCCGAGAGCTCGTATGTGCTTACTGGATACGACTCCTGTAGTTTTCTGGGTCTCATGCCTTGCAAATGTTTGTATTGTTATTTATTTATTTATTTAAATAAAAACTAGTATATGCAGGGAATGTAATCTACCACATTCAGTATAGAGCATAAAGTACTGAACGACTAATGATGCTAAAAACAGCTAGCTACTGTATGTATCCAGAAAGAAACATCTGCTTCAGGTTTCGGGATGGAAAAGCCCTAACATGATAGCACTAACTTATATTCAACTGAGAGATTTTTGTATTCTTTTAGCTTTGTAAATTACTCTTAAGTTCGTTAAAGTGAGGTATTCCCCGGAGAAAACATCATGAATGTATTGTTTGTAAAGGAAAGAATGCTATAATGTTATTATGTAATGACCGTCTCTGGAATCGCCAGTATTTATATGCTGTACCTTAATGCCATTTAGGCCTTTCAAATAAAATGTGTTGCCTTGCGTTTGTGTGATCATGATGTGAACGTTATGCAGTGAAAGCCTTGGAAATATGTGCTCTCAAATGGAAACTAGATTAATGGAGAAGAAAAATTAACATTCCAGAAACATAAGACCATCATTAGCACCATCTGCTGGCCTGAAAGCAATATCACACATCACACATTTTCACTGATTTTTACAATATTTTTTTACTAAAAAATACAGTAAAAACTGTAAATCTGCCATTTGAAAGAACTGTTTTCTATTTGAATATATTTTTTCAAATGTATTATTCCTGTCATGCTAAAGCTCCATTACTCCAGCTTTCAGTGTCACATGATCCTTCAGGAATCATGCTGATTGCTGCTCAAGAAACTTTTTTTTATTATTATAGGTGTTAAATACAGCAATAATTGTGAATCGATGAACAGAAAGATTGAAATATAAAATGGAAAATAGAAATGTGAATTATTTGAAATAATTTAAAATAGATTTTTTTTTATTAACATTACTAATGTTAATTTCTTTATTGTCATTTTACATTTTTTATTGCACATTTTGCATTTTTTATTGCACATACAATGCAAGACAGGGAACATATCAACATCGTAAAGAACACCACACTTGACATACAAAAAAATAATAATAATTTGATGGACTATACCAAAGTTATGAATTAGGACAACACTAAAATTGTAACTATTTTGAAAATGAGGAGCATATGTTTCCCATCTTTCTACTTAGTTTTCTTAGAATTATTTGAAAGCAAATAATTTGAAATATTCTCACAAAATTTTTGAAATAAAGGAGTGTTTACATTTCTTCTATTTACATGTGTAAATGTGTAAATTTTCACCCACCAAATTTACAGGAAATTCAATATATCCTAAAACAGGGTATTTTCTAAAACTAAGGGATAAATATGATTATTTTTCACTGAAAGATCATTGAAAACATCCACCCAAAAATTTGAGGTAAAATCACAGCAGTAAAAGGGTGTTCAAGAGTTCCAGGAAAGGAAGAACAAACTGAAATCTCTTCTGTAAAATTTGCCCTGTGGATATATTCTAAACAGGATTTTTTTAACAAGCCTCTTTAACCTTTGGGGCAACAGGGTCAGTGTTAGAGAGTGAACGAAACTTCAACATCACCAAAGCTGCAGCACTGAAAGTCACCAACATGCTTAAAAATAATGTATATAATTAACTGTAAATTATATAAAATTATACAATTTACTGTAAATTATGTTTATTTTACTTTTTAACAAGCTATGTATGTACGTTACTTCTTTCTAAAAAAAAAATGGCGGTGGTTTGGGAATGGCAGGATGATCTGGGCTACTGGAGGCCCTACACCGGACAGGTGAGCAGCTACATCGAGCAGTGTCTCCAGCACCAGAGAGGAGCCGGGCCCGCCAGCAGCAGCAGCATCTGTCTGGCACAGGCAGACCCCAGCCTGTCTGCGTACATCATCGACATCCCCAACCTCAAACAGTTCAGACAGGACACGGGTGAGTGGGAGCTCAGACATCTCTCTACACACTGCTGATGAAGAGTTGGAGTAGTGGTATACTGAATACTGTAGCATCTTCATTTAAACTTCAGTCTACTATGGTTTTATTATGGTACACATCCCAAAATATCTTAGTACCGTCATACTTTTTTTTCTTTGTTATTATTATTAGTATTATTATTATTATTTAGTAATAACTGCATTCATTGAACGAGATCTTATTAAATGGCACAAATGATGTCATGGTATTGTTTGAAATTTTTTGAAGTACCTTGTAGGGTCAACTTTGGTTCACAAATGTCAAATGGTATAACTTTCTGGTATTCATGATTAAGGAAAGTTGTACTTTTTTGTAAATAATAATAATAAGAAGAAAAAAATAAAGGATGAAAACGTTATTTTCTAGGCCTGACACTATGTGTGTGTGTGTGTGCAGGGCTCTACGCTTATTTTTCTTTTTAGGAGCACTTGTGCTCCTAACTTAAAAAATTTAGGAGCACAGTCAAAAATTTAGAATTACGAGGTGATATTTGACTCCTTAAAGTGATTTACAGTGGAATTTTGTTTTTACCTTTGTAATGGCATTTTTCTAACTTTATTAAAAGTATGTAATCTTTTATGTCAATTTTTTTTTAAATTATATTTTATAAGCTTTTTAAATTTTTTTATTAAAACCACGGAATAAGAACAATTAGAATAAGAAGAATAAGTTACTAATCAAATGAAATCAGTATTAAAATTAATTTGTACAGAGGTGGCACAGAAGAACACAAAAGTGGCTTGTAGGTGTATTTTCAGACATTTAATGAGGATCAGAGGTGGCATCAGTGCAATTAAATCCATAAATTCGATCACAATCACAAGTATGATGAAGATCTGGTCAGTCGCACTGGTACTCCTAAATATTTTTTTCATAGTCGCACGCAGTAGATTTCGCACTGTAGAGCCCTGGTGTGTTGTGCACAATGTTCACCAAGGCTGCATTTATTTGATCAAAAATAAGTAAAACTAAAATAAATAATAGAATTGTGAAATATTAACTGTTTTCTATTTGAATATATTTTAAATTGTGATTTAGTCCTGCTGTGTGTCAAAGTTGTGTTTTTAGCAGCCGTTGCTCTCAGTGTCACATGATTCTTTAGAAATCATTCTTTATTTGGAAATCATGTTTATTTGGTGCTCAAGAAACAGTTCTTATTGTTGTCAGTGTTGAAAATAGTTGTATCATGGTTTACACAAAAATATTAAGTAGCACTTTTTTCTTTATTTTTTTGGAGAATAGAAAGTTCGAAAAACAATTTAATTGAAAATGAAATCTTTTGTAAAATGATAAATGTCTTTATTGTCATTTTTGATAAACTGAATGATTCTTTGCTGAAATATAATATTATAATTTTGTAGTATAAAATAATATTAAAAGTAATATTTTCTTTAGAAATAGTTTTACGCCCTATATATAGAGAAAAAATATATTTCTTATTTCATAATGCATGTTTTTGATAAATATTTATAATAGTATGTAGACAGTTTTATTATATTTTTTTAATCAACTTGGACATTTTTATGTTATTGACCCATATACTATGCTACGTGATAATATTACCATCTGGTACTGCCACAGTACTTTACTGTAAGAGAGTGTTAAGAAGACATGGTTATTGCTCAATTTGGATTAAGTAAACGTGTTACCATTTGTCAAGAAAGTATCTCGATAATCTGCAGAGTGAAAGAAGCCTAGTGTGAATCGTGGCGGAAATTCAGTTGCTCTAAATGTATAATATTTATGCTTCATCCTTGATAACAGGTCATTAAACCCGCTGTGTAGGGCTGCATAAAATAGCGTTAGGTCTGTTAACTGGAGATTAGGCTTGTTTTTGGGGATTTTTGAATGACTTTGGACACCTGTGGTCTCTACGGAAAAGAACAGGAAAGAGGTGACAAAAATCTCAGGAAATAAGCTAACAGATGCCGACAGGATGCACAGCATATTTTGTTGATGAAATACACAGATTTGTTTTAGAAGAGAAGCACTTTTTTTGTGGTTGAGAAATATGTAAATGTTTTTTTAGAATGATAATGATCTTGTGCTTTTACTATGAAATATTTCTTTAACCCTTTGTAGGAAAGATGCGTGCTGTGCGACGATCCCTGTTCCCGCAGTCCTCTGCCCTGGGCAGTGGGGTTCTTTGGGAGTGGGCCAATGATGAAGGAGGGTGGACGGCGTATGAGATCCGAACCTCCATTCTGCTGGAGCACAGCTACCAGGCAGGGCAGGCCACAGCTGACCTGAGCCCGCACGGCTACAACTACATTGTGGACCTCACTGCTCTACAGCAAGTCAACAAGGCCACCAGCTACAGACGGCATGTCAGGCGGCAAGGCAGCATGCCATATCCTCTCGCCTCCGGTTCGGTTATTCACTCGGGCCCGGCCTGTTCCTGTCACCAATGTTTGAGCAATAGCAGCGCCGCCGGACCCATGCTGAGCCGGTCACGGCATTCCTTCACCGTGGGGCAGGCCTATGGGCCCAGCCTCCAGACCCAGCATGGACGACTTCCTGGAACCAGCTCTTCTTCAGCCTACTCGCCCTACCCCAGAAGACCTCTCTCGATGGGAAGCTTGTTATGGAACGGCCCGTGGAGTACCCCCACCTCTGTGGCTCATCCTCCAGGACCACCACAGGCTTTTGGTCACCATGCAAATGGCTTAAGGTAAGACTAAAAGGCCTAGTTCAGAAGTAGAAAAAATGCAAGTTATCCCTCATTTCATATTTTCTATATATGTCATATCATATATATATATATATATTACCATGTGATACCTTCATTGTATCATGGAAGCACCATAGGATTTGTAAGGGAAAGAGACTTATTTTAGTCATAATTTCAAGGACTCTGCACAAGCATGGAAGTCCTCCCACAGAGAGCGGTTTAAAAATACTCAACCGGCTTTTAGTCGTGATAAGAAAACAAGATGTTTGACCTGCAGAGTTTCAAATGACACCAAAGGTCTAAAGGTTTTATTACATCAGCTACTGAGCTCTTCTCCTTCCTGTCATTGTGTCTGTCCTCTTGTGTACTTTGTAGTAGTAGGCTCAGTCATTCTGACTCCATTTGTAGCATAATTTTGATTACTACAAAAACTAATTTGGATATGTTCATTAGTTTAAAAAAGGCAGGAAAAACTGTGGTAGCACTTTATTTTATAGATCTTTCTGTAGGTAGTATGTACTTACTATGTAATTACTAGGGATGGGACGATACACCTACCTCCTGATTCGATACTATCACAATACTTGGGTGCCGATACGATATGTATTGCAATTTTTTTTTAAAGAATTTTGATTCTACAAGTATTGCGATTCGATATTGCTATGTGTTGCGATTTTTGTTTTTTGTTTTTAACTCTAGACTATGGGACAAATTTGAAATACTTGATTATACCCTTAAAAGAGACTGTATATGATGAGTCATATTAACAAAAACAATGCATCACATCTTTCTGAACTTTTATTTCAGGAGCATACACATACACAGTGTATATAGTACCTTGAACCATGAAACTTTCAAGTACCAAAACCCTGAACTTGCACATGAATATAATAGTCAAATGTTCAACAAAATGAGTAGAAAAAATACTTTCTGAAATAAAATAATAATTAATTTAATAATGAATAATAATTAATGCATTTAGCAGACGCTTTTATCCAAAGCGACTTACAGTGCATTCAGGCTATACATTTTTTACCAGTATGTGTGTTCCCTGGGAATTGAACCCACGACCTTTTGCGCTGCTAACGCAATGCTCTACCAGTGAGCCACAGGAACACTATAAAATAAAAGTGTTCAATATAATAGTGTTATAAATAAACATTACAAAATAAAGTGCTATGTTACTTTGCATACCGTTTTAGTCATGTTTTCCCGGCAGTGTGTAAAAATTTCCACACTTGGGATTCAAAACGTGAAGGTGCAGAAAGAATTCTGGAAGAGGTTTGATCCGCTGCCTCCGTCATGGTTTTGCTTTTTCGCGCTGGCTTGAAATGTATATGACGTCATCTAATGCAGCGGCACTGCGCACGCAGACCGATCGTTGTAAGACGTTATCAAAGCACCACGAGAGCTACAGAGAACAGACTGATCCGCATGCTTTCGAATCGCTCTCGCGGTACTTTGATGTCTTGCGCTGATCGTCTGCGCGGTGCTGCTCCAAGTCGAACACACCTATACATTTCGCCCTCTGTTGGAATTAAAAAGCGCTAACTTCTCCCCACCACCTCTTAGGAAAAGTAAAATAATTAAATCTAAATCGATTCTGAGCTAAACCAATCGATTTCTAAATCGTTTAAAAAAGAATCGCGATAGTTAGGTGAATCGATTTTTTTCTCCCACCCCTAGTAATTACTGGGTAATAACTAGGGCTGTCGCGATAACCGCAATATCGCAATACCGCGCTATTGACGAGCAAACCGCAGAGGAATGCAAGAACCACAGCAACAGCGATTTTTGCGTGTTTTCTTTTTTCGTAAGATTATGCCCTTCTCCTTTTACACTTCATGCATGTGGACTGAATATTAAACAAGTTAGTAATGATAACATAATATATATATATATATATGCATACCGCGCTATTGAGCCACTCAAAATTACCGCAAGGGAAATTCCCTCACCGCGACAGCCCTAGTAATAACTAGGTACTAACCCTAAACCAAGTACCAAACTTAACCTTAACCCATGCTGAAGAGATGATTTGCCCTAAAATGAAATTTCTGTCATTTACCCTGCCTCATGTCGTTCCAAACCTGTATGACTTCTTTTTTTTTTCTGTAGAACATAAAAGAGTTTAGAAAAGTGTGTGTTTTTGTCTATACAGTAAAAGTCAATGGTAACCAAAACTATTTGGTTACCAACATTCTTCAAAATATTATGTATTCTGCAGAAGGAAAAAACTGAAAGTTAATGTACAGTCACATTAGCAAAATTTCAGCAGAATTTCACAGCAAAAAAGGGCTATTGTCCATTGTCAATTGTGTAGCAATGTATGAAGCACAGCGCACACAGAAGTAAGTCGCTTTTAAACCAAGCAGGTTTGAAAGCAGGAACATAAGTGAAATCTATGAGGGGAAATCATTGGCCCTCACACAAAACTCCAGATTGTTCAAATTTCTACTGGAATGACTGGATTTTGCCCACAAAATTTTGCAGAGAAACGGTAAATGTGGCCGCACATTACATGATGATACAATTTTCATTTTTGGCTAAACTATTCCTTTAAGTCCATGTATTTACCTTATATTACTCAGTATACTCTTGGGTAAGTATACTGAGTAATATATTACGCTTTTCATGCACTTACTGTAAAAATAAAGTTCAACCAGAATTGTGGTTGCCTGAAAGAACTTGCAATGGAAGTAATACACATTAAAATGTGCAATGTCTTTAAAAGTAAAGCCACAAAACTAGTAGTCCCAAGGTAAAATTACAAATTTGCCACTAAAATAATTTTTTTTAAAGAATTTTTAAAAATATGAGCTTCACATTTTTACTTAAAATGTGGGTTAACAGGAAAGCCAATACAACAGCATGCTAATTTCCTTTCTCAGTCTGGACTGGTTTTAATGCAAGAGCAGTAATGATCATCCTCCCTTTTGTCCCGATACTATAATTGGCTTTTCCTCTGTGCACTGTGTCATATCCTCCCCTCTGTGTGGATCTTTAGGACACGTGGAGGAGAGCAGGTCTGCACTTACTGTGCTGACTTAAAGGGGAAAACCCAGATTTTAGTTATTGTTCTCTTCTGGAAAACTGGGTTGAAAGGGGAACCAGGAAATGTCTGTTTTTACGCATGCCTCTCTTACTCCTCATTCACGCAGTCCACTTACACAAACATCCATAGCTGAGCTTATGAGACCTTAGTTTCCTTGTCAAGTGGTCAAAGTACACCACACTTAGTTATAATCTGTCGTGATTACTCTGGAATGAACAGTCTCAGCTGAAATCAAAACCAAAACCTCTAGCTGAATAATAAAACACGAGCAATAAAAGATCAACATCTGGACAGAGAGTATATAACTTATTAGTGTTGCTTACTAAAGTTCAGATTTGCTCATATTTAGGGTGAGACATTTAAACAAACTCTTAAACTTAAGTTTACATTTTGGTGCTTAATTCATCCCGCACAGTGTCTGCTGGTTAGTTTTACGCAGTGTGGAATGATGGAAATCTACCACCTCATTGTCATGAGATTCTCAGATCACTGTGGGAGTGTCATGTGAGCTGTAATTCCTGCGAATTGGAGTGCCACTGTATAGATAAAGCAAAGTTGAATTGTAAGGAAAACAGCAATTGAAAATAAAAAAAGACAGCAGCTTGCCAACCAGCGGATGAATACAGTTGTTTAAGTAGCAGAAACATCAGATGCTTATGTTTTACATTTGCATAAATCAGAGGGATTTACTTTACATTTCATTTATATTGCTGTAATTCACATATTTACTTGAATGTTGTTCTTTCAGGTTATGCATCAAATTGATATCTTAAAAGTACTTTGTTGGGTTTCATACTCTTGACACTTCTGAGTATGAATCTGATGTTGTCTGAAAAGTAGAAAATGTGACATTTACAATAAGATAAAGTTCACTGTAACATCATTCTCCTCATTAAAATTATTTCTGATTTGTTCAAAAGCTTTATTCTTTATATGAGTGGTTACCAGTGTTATTTTTTTCTTTTCATTGTTTGAAATCCTTTTAATTATTTTTTATGTACTCCGATTATGTGCATCTACACTTCCGTTTTTGGTATGTAAGGTTTTTTTTTTTTGTAAATGTTTGTGGAAGAAGTCTCTTAATTTTCACCAAGGCGGTATTTGCATGATCAAAATATAGGGATGCACCGATACCACTTTTCCAGTACTCGCCCGATACCGATACTTTTATTTTTGGTACTTGCCAA